TTTTATAACACCATTATTCACAATAAGTTACTGTGCAAAATGTTTGAAATAACTTTTGGTCTAAAATGTAGTTTAATAACTAAGTAAGAGAAATAAACAAATAGACGTTAGATATTACCTACTATAAATTATTGTTTGAGTAATTACGAAAATATTCTGAATCAACTGAAGACCGGGAATAACCTGGACTTCATGCAAATAACAAATTTCTTAAATCTAATAAAAAAGATCTCATATGATAAAAATTATGTAGAATTCTCTTCTCAGATAAATTGACTTCACATAAGGCTATATAGAGATTACTTATACATAATACAAAATATATAGGAATTTCTACGTAATAGGTACATTGATTTTGATACTTTATTGTAAAAGCTAATATTATTTTTTTTATCGCGCCAAAAGTTTACTGTCTGGTACTCAGTTCAATAAAAACAAACTTTCTTTCAATAACAAGACCACACTGTTGCCTGCATTTCAAAGGTAAAATCGAACATCCCAAAACAAAACCAGTTACATAATAAACTTACTTGACCGCTCGGCTCGGAAGAAATTAATTTAATTTTTTATCTAAACTATCCTTCTAGGGCTCTTTAATTTCGTTGTTTTTTGTAGTGGTGGGAAATAAAGGTGTAAACAACCTTTGAAATAATGACTATAGTTGAAGCATACCCTATCGAACTGTACAGATTATGAAATAAATACTGAATTTTATCAATAGAAATAATCTGTTATTAGAAGATCGCCTTCAAAATTCAAAATCTAAAGGTTACATTTTTATTGATTTAAAAAATTTTCATATACCTCACACGATTGCATCATAATTTTTTCTGACTTTCAATTTAAAATTTAACCCTCCGTAATTGCATCAAGATAAAAAAATCTACTTAGAGAGACCAAATTGGGGATGGAACTCTTAAAGCGCTAAAAAACCTAAAAAAAAAACTAAGGAAACGTGGACTTATACACTTATTTTGTCCGACATTTTTCTCTGAGAAAATAGGTATAGTACGACACTCTCATTGGACAAACAAAAACGTTGTTTTTCCCAACAATGTAAATTTTATTTCATAAATAGTCACGGAACTCTTTTATCTTGATCTCAAGTCAACTAATGCACTAATCTACCTACTTATAGACATTATTATAATTTCTTTTTTCGAAAAATATTGATTAATAGGGAGATCTGTAACATCCTTATATCCTTATCGAAATCTCTTTGTTGACCACGCATGGACTAGCCATCTCTGGACTAGCCTCTTTCAGTTCGCGGCAAATCTTACGACTGGGTGGGCACTTGCCACATCCCTCTAAACATCTATTGCTTTAGAAATGACCTGGTTTGATATAGAACAAATTCCTAAACGCCACTTGTTGCCGCCAAATTTTTAGAAACCCATTAAATGATCTCTTACCCTGTCGTAGAATAGGTACCTGTCGATGTGAATAGAATAAAATAGATTAACCTCGCTTAACCCAACAATAGGTGGGTAAAGCAACAAAAATGCCCAGAATTTTATATTTCCTTCTTATTTAATTTTCTTGAACACATCAAACATTTGTGACAATAAGAGTGAAAGATTCTTTCAGAAAGAAACACAAAATCTTGTACCACATATAATTTTTTTTTTAATTTATTAATGAAAAAGGAGGGGGTTGCAAACAGTTTCGGGTAAATAGCTATCATCAGGCCTACAAACAAGTGTACAATGAAACATATAACAATGAGAAATTTAAATGTACATATCTTAACGATAAAATATATTAAATTAAATATGTATTCCTTAGCATCGCGATGTAGGAGGGTAGAAAATAGAAAAGGAAAAAGAAAGGAAGGATGAAATGAGGGGATGGTGTTGATGATATAAAATTAAATGTTAGATCTTCAAAATACACAAAATACCAGCGTCTAAATTGATATTTGACCAATAAATAACCAATTTGTGAGAGGGAGGGAGTTAACTAAATAAAGGTGTGACTTAAGCTAACAGTCCAAATTAGCGGAACTAGCTGAAATGTAAGAGCTAGTATGAAAAGCTGACTTTCCTTACTCATCAACGCTCAAACCATAAAACCTCCCCGCCCTGAAATTCTCCAGGACTTACTGGAGTCAGTCCCCACTATCTACCAGATAGGACCCACACACCCAAACAACCCAAAAACAGGCCCGACGTGAGGGAGGGGCAGGGGACAAAATCACCGGGGCTCGGGCCCAAGGGGAGCTCGAAAGCTTTAAAAAAAGGGATTACAATATGTGAGGGAAGGGCCCTTGCCAGTGTTTTGCACCGGGGCCCACCATGGCTCTCGGCAGCCCTGGATTAACATAAGAATCAACTTGTACAGAATTGTGATTTAGATTTTCGTGGTTTCCCTAAATCATATTTTCCACTTTATCTCGGACTTGCTAAGAAAAGTTGCAAAGAGCAACATTGGCGATTCTTATTAAGAACGTAACCTGCCAAAAACTCTACGACATTATCAGAAAAATAAAATCTCCTCCAAACAAAAATCTTCAAAAACAATAATATTAAGAGCAAACCGAACCTCTCGTGAAAACAAAAATGTTTCAAGGATTTTCTAATATAAAATTGTATTTTTTTGCTTGCCACTGGGAATATTTCGCGAAATTATGTATCTCGAGAATATTAAGATCTTTAAATGCAGCAAATTGTCATAGATTTAATACAGAATGGCGCGTAAATGTTTCTTTTTATTCCTTTTAAAATTTTTCAAAATAAATACTTTTCGAAGGTTAACAAAAAAATTCAAGCTTTCTCCACCCTAAGTTTTGTTATTATTAGTAATTCCTTACCAGTGGCGTAGCCAGCCATATTTGATGGGTGGGGTTTTTGAGAACAATGAGAACTATGGGGGGAGGGAGCTTCATCAAGAAAATGAATAAAAACAAATAGTCAATAGCGATTATCACCAATACTATAGCGGAAATGGTGACGCAAGGACCCTCCGTGAGGGGCACTGAACCTCCCACCCCCGTGGCTACGCCACTGTTCCTTAAAATATCACAAAAATCGGACTAAAAATAAAGGCTCAAAGCGAATTATAAATTTTCAGTGTTCGGTTTGCTTCTTATTTTTCTACGGGTTTGCTCTTAATACATAAAAAAACTGACTTTTCATGTGGTTGTAAGCTAGTTTATGAATTTATTTAATGTAATTTCTGTAAAAACATAAAAACCTAAATCTGTTTACATATACGTAAAAATATAGAAAATATATTTCAAATGAGGTATCACATGACCCTACTTTCCATTAGAAAATTTAAAGCTAGTAACTCCCTCTATCTTACGTGTCTCAAGTAAAGTGCATCTCGTTATAACAAAAATATAATATCTCGTTGAGTTTTATCTTGTTTTTGTTTTGTCATTATCCTTTTTCATTTAGAAGTTAAAATAGAGGAGGGTATAATTTTCGTCCTCCCTATATATAATACATTCGTTTGTATTACCTTTTCTTTGACAGTTTTTCGAAAAAACGCTTAACAATATTCAACTTATCTTCAAAAGTAACCTCAGAAAAGCAGAATTAATTAAATATAAGAAATGATTGTATAAATTTTAAATAAATGAAATGAGAAATATTTTTTCTTATAAATCACTATAAAAGTCTAATAACACAAGTATCATTTGTTACCAGTTAATATATATAGAATAGGTGTGTTATAGTTCATTTTTTGACTATCTCGAGATCGAATATGTTAAAATTTTAAGTTACGATAAGCAATTGAAAATTTCAAATAAGCAAAGAGAAAATTGTTTGAGAAAACTCAAGAGAAACGAGAAATTCTCGTCGAGAGATGACACTCTCTCGTCTCGTCTCGAATCTGTTTTCGAGAGAAAATGTCTCTCTCGTCTCGTTCGAGACGAGACAAGACGAGACGAGAGACGAGAATCTCTCGTCTCGCGGCATCACTAATCGTGGGATTGCCGTACGTCTAAATTTCCCCGGATTATTTTTGTTGCTTTTTCCCTGATAAAAATAACTCATTATAGCACAAAGACAGTTAGGTTTAGATTTAGATTATAATTGCGATACATTTTTGAAATAAGCTTCTCAAGTGCTTGCAAATAAAGTGCTATGCGACCGCTCTTGTTATTTAAGTCGTCGTGTTGTCGTCCGAATTTTGTACTGGTTTTTTTTTCGGATTTTGTCCTGATTTTGTCTAGATTTTGTCTGGATTTTGTACGGATCTTTCAGTAGCTTTGTTCCAGTTTTTAAATTTTAGAAATAATGTAATCCCTAACTCTACAGGGTGGTACATCCAGTTTATATCGTCAGGATTTTACCAGCTAATAGTTTATCGCAAAATAAAGGTAGTTTCTCTGATAAAACATGGTCCAATTCTGTTTTCTTTTATTAATATCTTTTGGACATGTTACAGTTGATCCAGTAATTCCAAAGTTCACAGGGCACTTCGATTAGTTTTCGGCACAAAAAATATGTCCCAGTAAATTTTTTGAATATTTCAAAAAAAATTTAAATAAACTAACTAAAAATACAACTTTATTGTCTCTTATTTTTTTTCGTATCTTACTTTGTTTTCGAGTAAAAAATTATAACTAACATTTCACGTCTCTGAATTCCTGAGAACCTTGTAAATTAATAAGAAAGCAAAATTGGACAAAGTACCTTTATTTTTCGATTAGCTGGTGAAATCCTGACGATATAAATTGGACCACCTTGTATGTGAGAACCTAGCATCCTAAAATCCAAGTTTGGTGAGATTTTCGTCTGTGTTTTTACTTAAAATTAATTAAAGAGCACCTAAAAATACGTTTGTTTATATTTAATAAAAAAAACGTTATAAATAAAATGAATAAATCAATGTTAACCTCCCATCTAACGAGTAAAAGACAAAATATTTAAAATACTAATGAAGAATTCTGTAATTGACAATATTTCCATATCTGTGCTATCATCTATTGAGAAATATATTTACTACCATTATGTCATCTATCACTCGGTTATTCAGTCTGAATTGTCAGTTTATTCCTCCTATTCATTATTTTTATAATATTTAATTTTATCTGATTATATTCTTTTTAAATATTTTCTATATACATCGATGAAAAACCATACACGTTAAAAATTACGGACGTTTTTTTTGAGTATTCAGTATTTGCAAGAAGAAAAACGAGAAAAAGAAGATGAGTTAACACCAAATTACTTTTGCAACCTACTATTCATTTGACGACACTTGTCAAATTTTTGATAAACATTAATGTGAAATCCAAATTAAATACACAACCAATAATGAACACAATCATAATGCAATAATTGCAAAATTATTATTTAACTACTGATAGTCTCTTTTTTTAAATAATCTAAGGTATACTATGGCACAATGCAAGCAAAGTCCCCAGGAGTTTATCAAAAATGCATTTACTCCCCAAATCGCTGTTATGTGCACCCCATTGGCAGAAAAGTGTTGTCAGAAAAATAATTTGGATTTCATTGAGCTACTGCAACCCTTCTGTAGGTTAAATAATGATGGTATGTACCAATTTTCTTAATGAAAACAATACTTTTAAAATAGCTTGTTAAACATATTTCAAACCATTGCTTTAGTCATTTGGAACATAATTCTTATGTTTTTATTGGACAGGATGTATGTATTAGATGAATTAAGTCTTAAGATTTACTCCTTAATTGTATGACAATTGTTATATTAAAAACACTTGTTAACAGTATTGAGAACATTTTCAAGGACTATTGTTTTGTTAACTTTAATCATGTAGAATACTTTCACATTAATATTTTTCACATAATTGAAAATACCTTTATTTGTTCTGCTTTTTCAAAAACCATTTTCATCTGTCCATAGAGCAGTTACATTGGAAAAAATAATCATGATGTAATTATTAAAGCTTTGTTTTTCTCTGTATTTAAGGTTTTTAATAATATATACATGGTAGACTGTTTTAATTTTGATTTGCATATATTATACTAATTACCTACATCTCATAATTGTCTAATACCAAATGTATCCAAGCCTAAACCATACTTGTAATTATGCACAAATAGTTTTAGGCACGTCTAAACTTTTTTAAAACTCAAATAAGAAACCTAAAATTATCTTTTAACACAAAATGGTGATAATATACGCCCCCTATTATTTACCTCCTGTAGAGCACTGCCATTTTTAAAAGGTTAAAATTCAGTTCAATTGCTTTGTAAATTACTGATTTTTTAATAATTATTTTATTCTTTTGATAAGTATCTTCTCCCTTCTCGAAACATCTATTGAACAGTTGTCATAAACATAAAATATACAAAACTGAACTGATTTTCTTTTTTAGTTACCTATAAAGACCCTAATGGATTGACCAATACAGTTAGAAATTTAAAATTAACATTTTTGGATATAACATGGAGACCTCCAGAAACTGCAGTAGCTAGAAAGCTGCTAAATTATTCTGTAACTAATGCTGCTGAAACCAAAACAAAACTATTTACCAGTGGAAGTCGCACGTTAGAGATACCATCTAATACTCCTTGGTTTGAAACTTGGAGGGATACATTTTTACAGGTTCAATACCCTTCAGATCATGAATTTACTAAACATTTTTTAGGTGAGACACTCTTAGTAAAATAATATCAAAGTAGTATAAAATTCAGCAGTGGACTTTAAACAAGACACTTTATTTTCAGCTTGCATTATAGTGGTGAGCTCTACTGATAATAATCCTGAAGAAACTTTTGAAAAATTAGGACAAAGTTTTAATCAACCCCAAATTAGGGAACCGGGAAAACTACCCAAGTGGTTTAATCCTAATGTCTTGAAATATTTTGTTGTTCTACATGACATTACAGATGGAGACAGTAATGTGTAAGTTCAGTTTTTACAATATTAATTATTTATTGTAACTTAAATAAGAATTGTCATGTAAAAAATAGATAATTTTATGATTATTCTACAAGATGATTGGATATTGATCCTAGCAAGAGATAATCATGTGCCATTATCCAGAGAGACAACATACATCATCTTCTGGAACTTGAAATAATTGATGCTAAGAAGAATTTAGTGCAACAAAGAGCACCCTAGTTTATTCATTACCTAAACAATTATGAAAATATAACAAAAATTTCGTTTATTGTTTTATTGTATACTTAACTGACTAAAATATGAATTCTTATATTCACATACCCTTCAAGCAATCCCTCCAATTTTTATTTTTAGAGCAATTCGAGTGTTTGAGTCAATAAAAATTTCTTATGGTTTTTCAAATTGTTTTCTACTTAAACTGAACTCCAGATCTCCAAAATCTGGAACTAGTGAGCATTTACCTGACCCTTGGAGTCAGTTTATTAATATGTCAATTGATTTAAAAGAATGCAAAGTGAGTCCAGATAGTAGTATTATGAAGACTTCTTTGGAAATTGGTCAAGAAGCTGAAGAAGTTAAAAATATTTTGAATTATCACCCACTTAGTCCAGTGAATGAAGATATGTCATTGGTGAGGATATGATACTTTTACATACCTATAACTATACTTTGGATTAGACATATTGAATTATTTTTGGTTTGGGTTTGAACTTTGGATCTCGATATTAGACTAAACTTGGTATTTTACAATAAATATGAAAATCACAAAAAATGCTGTTCCCCATCCTCTAGACCTAGATGATAGGAAGAGGGTATCACCTTTAAAAAATTACTTTGTTTTATAAAACGGTTGGACTCTACAATTTTTCTACATATCCCCAAATTTAAATTTTTTTTTTGATAAAACTTCTCTAAAAATTTGTTTAGAAACATTTTCAAATTGAAAAATCATAGTTCTTATATGGCATTTAAAAATAATTACAGACGAGATAAAAATCTCATATTTGACACATTTATAATAAACTTGATTTACAATGAACTTGTATAATAATCCCCTAGAGGGAGATGGAGGGGATGGCAGGCTCAAAAATAAAGCTGGTACTTTTTAAATAAAACCGTTGAAATCTACATACTCAATATTTAAAACTTTACAAAAAAAATTCAAAATTTTTTATGGACTAAAAATTTTTCGACTTAAAGTTAGAAGTTCCTACTAAAAAATTGTTAAATATTTCTGAGCACCTTTAGAAGAAGAAAAATATATTTACAAATAAATACTTAAAAAATGTTGGGTATGTATCTAAAAAAAATCTTAGATTCGAACTGTTTTATTTAAAAAGTTCTAACCTCATTTTTTGAGCATGCCACCCCCTCCATCTCCCTCTAGGCCAGGGGATGATAGGGGTAAGATTTTTATACAAGTACTTTGTAAATGAGTTCTATAATAAATTTGTTAAAAATTAAACTTAATTTTTTGAGGGTGACACCCCTCCAAGTAATGTAAAACTAACCTAAGTGTCCTGGGGAAACCCACCCTCCACACGTTACAGAATGTATAACTATTTAAAAAAAGTGCTGTATCATAAAGACCGGACATTTTAATCGCGTTCAAATAATTGGTTTTAATCACATAGGCGTCTCATTCTGGGTTCGCTATTTAAGACGGCAGACAGTGCGGCAGATTCTAATACTATCAGGACAAACCTCTTTTTTTTATTAAAACAAGATAAAAAAAGTGTACTGATATATACATAGACATTAAAACTAATACAAAAAAGTGAGATTTTTTTTTATCGTGTACCTATATTCTTTGTCTTTTGAATCATTTTCATTAAACAAATTTAATGTTTTCTTCTCACCAACGCCGAGGATATGTAGGATATTTTACAAAAGTTTTTAGTAACCTCAGATCCTTTAATTTGTGGCCTGAGAAATTTTCCTTAAAAAAAAATAACTTTTTTGATGAAGATGTTAAACTTTTCATAAGCGAGTTTAAGGTGTAGTAATGTAAACGATATTCTGTATGATATTTTTTTTATTATTATCTCTTATATAATTACAAAATATCTATTCCTCAATATTTTGGCGTGGTACACTACTCTCCTGCCTAAAATGAGGATCGAGGACCCCAGCTGCCTCCCCCGAATTTGTTATTTCCTCCAGAAAATTGGAAATTTCTAGCCTTAGCTGGTCCCGATTCATTGTTGGAGAAATTGCATCGGGGCCAAATATTAGGACTCTACGAGCGTTTGGACTAAGACGCTGTAGAGAGGGCCTAAAATGAATGTCAAATAGGCCCATCATATGTTGTCTTATACTTTCTCGATCCATTGTCGGTTAGTTGCCGGTGATATTTTTATTCAAATAAAGTCAATCCTTATATTATATTTATGAATATTTTGGCTTTTATCGATACCGTACATACCGATTTTTTGTAACAAAACATTTATGTTTTTATTTCCTGTGGATATTATGGTACTTATACACGATGAGACAATAAAATAAATGTCTGTTAAATTTCTGTAATGTATGTATTAATTCAATTGCTCACTCTATATAGGTATCTGTTGGTTGAAAAAATGTAAAAAGATAACAAAGAGTCGATAAACAGGAGATTTGAGAAGAAAGTGTCTTGTAAAAATATCACTAGATTTTTCCAATGAGTATATTTGTTTAGTTCAAAGGGAAAAGTGATAGAAACTGGAAACGTAAATATGGAAAATTTATTATCGGACTTTGATTGTTTTCGTCGTTTTAATGACAACAAATTATACTGCCGCAATTGTGATCAGGTGTTAGTTTTTAATGGAAAGTCAAGTATGACACAACATGTGAAAACACAAAAACACATGCAATCTTTAGAGGGATGTCCAGACAAAATCTTTTATGAAGATTTATGCAACGCATTTGTTTCTGCAAATATTCCATTAACAAAATTAAATAATACAATTTTCAAAAATTTTCTTTGTAAATATACTAAACGTAAAATACCGGATGAATCCACAATTAGAAAACATTATATTCAAAATCAGTACGATAAAGCAATGACGGCAATAAAAACGAAAATTTCCAGCAAATATATTTGGGTTAGTGCAGATGAAACGACTGACATAAAGGGTAGATGTGTTGTTAATGTTGTTGTAGGATTATTAAGTGCTGAAAATACTTCACAACAGTATTTAGTTTCTAGTGTGTTTCGTGAAACTGTGAACGCTGAAATGATTTATGAAATAGTGAAACGTGGATTGAACAATGTAATTGATAATGACGTTTCAAAAGTTTTATTGTTTATTTCAGACGCGGCAAGTGTAATGTTGAAAACAGGGAAACTATTACAAGAACATTTTCCAAACATGCTGCATGTAACTTGCCTTGCTCACGCGTTACACCGAGTTTGTGAGTTTATCCGTGACAGCTTTCCAGACATTAATTCGTTGATTAGCTGTTTTAAAAAAATTTTGTTAAAAGCACCGTCCCGAGTTTCTTTATATAAAGAAATATGTCCGAATATCCCCCTACCTCCACAACCAGTTATTACACGATGGGGAACTTGGTTACAGGCTGTGTTCTTTTTTTCGGAGCATTTCGACAGACTAAAAGTATTTATTTCCAACTTATCAGAGGACGCTCTCTCTATCACTCAGTGTAAAGGTTTAATAACAAAAACAACTTTGCAGTCGGAGTTAAATTTTCTTGCGACTTATTTTTCGTGTCTCCCAGAAACTATAAAATTCCTTGAAACCCGTAACTTACAATTATCGGTTGCTATGGAAAAATTTGAATCGACATTGTTACACTTAAAAAACGTAAAGTGGCCCTTACAAGATAAATTTAACCATAAAATAGATTGTGTTATTAAAAGAAATCCAAATTTACAGACTCTGAAACAAATCTCCCTGAACAATTTTAACGATTATGAAACTGCTTTAAAATATTGTGATTTTGTTCCACATTTTTCATTTGCTCCTGTAACGAGTTGTGACGTAGAACGATCGTTTTCTAGGTTTAAAGATTTATTGACTTCTAAAAGAAGTAATTTCACTGAAGACAATTTAGAAAAATATGCAGTCATACAAACATATTTTTCAAATGAAGAAGATTGATATTAATTTGTATTGTATATATTGTATATAATTGTATATTTGCTACTTTAGGATAAAGAGTGTATATTGGAACACTCTAAACATAAAACTAATGATGGTGTATCCTCGTTGATATATTTATTAGTCAATAATATATTAACAGAAAAAGCCAACAACATTATCCCACAACACAATAAAAAAATAAATAATAATATCATTTGTAATTATATAATAATATCCAACCAAATTTGAACTAAAATTTAATAAAATAATTATTGCAATGTAAATGTAATAATAAGCCCGCCCCAAATGTTACGCCCGGGCGATAAAAATCCAATATCTTATCTACTGTGTCGACCAGTTCAGTAAATAACTTGTTTTATTCAGAATGTATTATTCAAATCGAAGGTCCGCTCTTACCGTTACTTCGCTGATAAGAATAAATTAAATTGTCCGGTCTTTATGTATCACTCCCTAATTCTCTGTGTAGACACAATTACTCATTTGTTAAAAATGTATTTTTCAGGGTGAACACATAAGCGATGATGAGAAGCCTCAAAAAAATTTAGCCAAACAAAAAATTCACGGTAGTTGCTTGTCGACCGAAGACGTTGAGCAAGTGAAGTTGTTGATATACGAATTTACCAAGAGCTGTTTGCTGCCATACATAGAAAAACAAATTCAATCATTAAACGACATAGTATCCAATAAAAAGGGCGTTAGCAAATCGTTATTCAGCGCTACCAAACGTTGGTTTAGTCCCAATAAACCTGGTGCTAGTTCTGTAGCTGTTAATAATTTAATGTAAGTGAATCGGTTTCAAATAAAACCAGATTTAGCTGATACAAAAAAATTATCAAATTTAAAAATAGTGAAATGAAAGGACAAATTGAAATCTTATTGATTTATTTTGTTAATGATTATTTCCATTTTTATTTTCTTCAGAAATTAATCTAGTTTCAAATAACTAAGAGGCATACCTTTGCCCCCAATTCTATTCATATTCTATATGAATGACTTACCACCAGCCACTTCTAAGCCTATCTATAGCTTTGCAGACACCCAATCTACATGCGAGTATCCAGTAAACAAATTCAACACTGGAAGACAGATTATATTTTTATTGTTTATTATATATTACAAACAAATAAAGGTAATTTATTATAAATGTTTATCTAAATGAGGATCTTGAAATTATTACCAACTGAGGAATGAAAAACAGGTAATTTCAAACAAAACACTTCAACACTATCCCGTGCTTATGCACAGTCAGATTGTCCAATGAGAATTCCTTTAGTTCAATTGCGCCATAATTACCATTGCCTCTGCATTATAATAAATTGGGATTCCAATTTAGAGCCAAAAACTACTTCTCACTATCTTTCCCACTGAGGTTATTTAAGACCTTGAGAAAACCAAATCTTACAAATTTGGGGATCTAATCAACAACTGGTCTTTTATTCTCAATCCAAGACAAATGCATTACTCTTATGGTATTCCAGATATTCTCCAGACTCCCCAGAACTGCAAATTAGAAGATTAGGCGACCTTTATTTCATGTTTGGTCAGTACTCTCTAGCTTTTCAAGCATATCATTTAGCAAAAAGGGATTACAACACCGACCAAGCTTGGTTATATTATGCTGGGGCTCTGGAAATGGCTGCTCTTGCTGCATTTATGGCCAATGACCCTACCAGAAAAACCTGTGATTATATGGAAGAAAGCATTACTACATACCAAAATACTTGCAAGTAAGCACTTTTTTTAGAAATAATTTGTACCAGTATTAATTAGACCTTTAAGCTTATATGATTTGTATTTTAGAATGCCACAGTTTGCAACCAGAGCGACAATACTAAGTTCAGAATGCTTGAAATATCAAAACTTGTTTGGAGAAGCTGCTCACCAACTCATCAGAATGACAAGTGAAGAATCTGACTTGAGATCGGCTCTATTACTAGAACAAGCCTCGTACTGTTTTCTGCAATCAAAAATGGTGCGAAAATACGCTTTTCACATGGTATTAGCTGGTCATCGATTCTCCAAAGCTGCCCAAAGGAAATACTCACTGAAATGCTACAAGCAAGCATATCAAGTGTATGAAAATACAGGATGGGATTTGGCTAGTGATCACATTCATTACACTATCGGACGACAAGCTAATAACTTACAACGCTTCAATGAAGCTGTGGATTCTTTTGCCAAATTGTTGTTAGGAGAGAGTAAGCAGACTGCTCAACAACAAGCCACGTTTTTGAAGGAATACTTGACGATTTTAGGGGTAAGTGTGGTACTAATTAAGTTAATGATTCACCACCAATGCAATTTAGGCCGTGAGAATCGGAGTTGCCTAATACATATTTGACAGATGTAGTCAATATTTAGGCCACTCTGAGTGGGACATTTATTTGCAATAATATCAAAATTTTTAACTCCCTGGCAATCATATTTTTTTTTTATTTCTATGGTATTATTTGTATTTTGTAGTATTTTAAGTAAATTTATATTTAACGGTTAAAAAACATTCGCTAAGTTATGTATTTTGTGTTGCCTATTATATCTTATAAATAATTGATCCCGCCAGGTATGGAGTGAAGCTAATCTATAGAACAATCTAATTATTTGGTTTGTGGGGTTTTTATATCTTCAAGTGGTATTTACGTTGTTAAAGCGTCCGTTTTTACGAAAATATAACGAATTTTTTTATTTCAAATAGATCACCCTGTATATTTTGATTTAAATTACTTAAGAAATTTACAATTTTCTCATATAATTCCAATATCTAAATGTAATAATTTCCGACTTATGTTAGATTTTGAAATAACAAATTTCATTATATTTTCGAAAAAACGGAACACAATCCCCAAAAACCAAATTTAATAAAAATATCTTGAATGCCGTTTCTGAAATAATTGTAAGTTTGGAAGTTTTTTCGATAGGCAACTAAATACAGAGTGGCGTTTTGTGTGTTGCCTGCTATAACTTAATAATAACCGGTAGCGCCATCTATACTTTATTAAAGTAAGTTAATTCAATCGTCTAAGCGGTATATTTTACAAATGATCATTAGGGGAAAGCGGGACTATTTTTTTGCAAATTGACCTGGATTTTCTTCTAAACAATTTAAAATGGAAATAATGATGAAAATTTATGCTACGCTTGTAATTGCAAGTATGTAAGCGTATATACGTAGTAATTGTTTCGTTAGGAAACCTTTAATACATACCGTTTTACTTACTATATCTAATAATGGGATTATGATTGACATCCTGTTCACAAATAATGTGCCTGTTAAAAAGAACATAACTTGTCAATCATAACCAAGTTAAGAATATCTGAAGCCAGAAAATTGATAAAAAAAAGTAAGGAAAAATATAGGACAAAAGATATAAAGTATGTGAGATTTTTACAAATACAAAGAGAGCAAAAAAGTTTTAAAATAGGTGTGCAATTCCAGTGGCGTTCCGTTTTTAGCTAAATATTCCTCTAAAAAAAGTTTGGGGTCAAAGGGGTGTTGATCCTCTCTGAAACCCCATAAAAATTAAAATTATTGAATATAGCCACTGCGTATTTATTGTACATGGTATACTAGTATCCAATATAAATTTTCATAAAACGTCAACTTTTTGTGTACACTTTTGTACATAGGTAAGTAAAGTTCAATCGAACTATTTTTGACCCCAGAATATGTGGTATAATTTATGACCAATATCTTCGGGTCATCCTGTATTTTTTTACTGATAATCATTTTAACATTTTGAATTAATGATAGCTACTCTTAAAGAAGCAAATAATAGATAACAAATAAAATGTACTGGACAATCGTGGCTTATTTTTCAATCACAATTTTTTACAAAAATTTATAATAATCTGTGTAATGCCGATTGTATATATTTAAATTAAATGTTTATTTTTGTTTTAGAACAAATTAAAATCTGAAAGTGAAGTAGACCAAACAACTAGTCCGATTTTACCCGTTCCAGAACTAGAAATAAATTCCCTGAAGCTATTACTTGGTCCCACCCGACCTCTATCAACTCCAGGCAAAATTCCAGCATTGGGTGTAACTTTTAGTAACGCAGAAGACATACAAGCTGAAAACAAATGGATAAAATTAGAAGAAATGTTGGTACATGAAGCAGACGGGTCTGCCCCTTTAATCTTCAAACCGATGGTGACGCTGTATACCGTAAAAAAGTTAGAAAAAAATAAACCAGTAGCGATCGTTAATGAACCCATACAGGTGTATTTAAAACTAGTTAATTCCTTACAAACGGTTCTGAATTTAACTAACATTTACCTGCTATGGACTTTTTCGAAAGAAAATGACTTTATTTCTAATGAAGTCGTTGATAAAAACGATTGTGTTAAAACTTACGTCACAAAATCTTTGTTGATAGAAGGAAATTCTAGCCAAGAAGTTGTACTGTCCCTTACACCTTTGTATGTAGGCTCTATAACGATAACTGGTTTCTGTTACACGTTGACTAGTTCAAATGGGACGTCAGGTGCAAGTTCTATTAAAGGAAAACAAATTATATTCATACCTAACGGGACCTCTAAAAATAATAGTAGTAGTTCGGATGTTGGAAGTATTGGATCACCTTTAGAAGTGAACGTTGTTCCTCCTGCACCATGTCTACAGGTAAGCAGAGAATTATATAATTAATATACATAATTTTCTTCATCCACTTCTTTAATATAGCTTTCAAAAGTAAGGCAATAAAATAGTCTTATTGCCGAATTATCCATTAAATTACCTTTTCAATGATGTGTTATCCATGGCACTTTCCCTATGAAATTTTAGGGGTTTTTCACCTCACTGCTCGAGAGTTGAAGTGACGATGTTGCAATAATAAAAAAAAGTGTCCGCCTCCAAACTAAAATCGACCTGTCCCAAAACGACCATGGGTCATCTTGTATATATTTGACAGAGACCCTACAAAGTAGAGATTTCAAGCAGAAACAACTAGACAGAGAGTCAGAAGTCTAGCATTTCATCTCGTTTACATAGATATTACAAGCAAAAAGGACAGATATTTTCCAGTTTGTGTAGTCTTAATTTGAAATACCAAGATAGGCTTCTGGTACATCTGTTTCTGTAAGGCGGGGGAGGATGTGTTGCTACACATCACTTGGCATGATTAGGTCCATTGTGAATCGTCTAGGGACATATTATATATGACCTGCCTCTCGGCTCAAAAGGGCACACTTCTGGTACATAAGCTGATCTAAGTCCTACAAGAGTTTAAATAAAAATAGCAAAGAATTGAAAGTTCACATCAGCATGGGAATCGAAGTAACAGTCCTAACAAAACCTATTGTAACTGATGTTCTTGTTCTTTTCCCACTCAATTACTTTGCCCTTGGAGATACTTTCAATGTTTTCAAGTGAAAACTAAAACATGTCTCTTTCTTTTGTTGTTGAGATTGTTTTTGTATTTGACATAATCAACCAGCAATAACAAAATGTGATAGCGACTTTTAAGTTTATTTTTCCTTTTTTTTGCAAAACTTTATGTCACTACGATTGTTTCCAACAACAAAATTAGTGAGCAATATATGTTTACATTCCAGGTAACATTTTCTGAAATGCACGCCGACTTCTTATCTGATGAATTGCAGAAGGTATTAGTCACGTTCCAAAATACCAGCTCAGTGCCTCTTCAGAATGTCTACATGGCAACATCAGTCCCTTACTTGCTCTGCAATTGTGAATTTAAACAAGAAAAAAACGAGCAATTTGCCATAAGCGATCTAAGTACGCCTGCGCTTAGAGAAAAACTCATTAGGAAAAACCATTTAACTTCTGTGCCGTTGAATGGAAAGACATTGGAACCTGGACAAACTGTTCCGATTTATATTTGGGTGAAGGCGCCTAGTTCAAAGGGACCAGCATCTATAGATTTGCTTGTTTATTATGAAAACATTGTGAGAACTACTATTCCCAGGTAATTGATTTACTTCTACTGTTTTTTTTTCTTTTGAATAATTCATTATTTGCCGCGACTTGTAATTGGACGGAATTATGCTGAATGCTACCAACCCTCAATAGTGACAAACTTTGATAATCGCTCTAAAGTTTTTGTTCATTTAAAAAAGTTGGAGGATGAGGATTAGCATTTTATAGTTTTATAGAATAATAAATTAATTTAGCTTAAGGTTCTTACAGAATGCAGAACGTGTATTTTATTACCCAAATTCTCACACAACCCAATATCTGGTATATTGTGAGTTGGTAGCTTTCTGCATAATACCGTCCAATTATGTATAATGCAAAGTAGAGGTTTAATTTCTTTAAAATCAACTAACTGAATTTATGAATATTATATTGGATAATATAGAAAAATTATTAATCTTAACGATTTTATATAATTTTAGGTATAGATTGGTAAGACATAGCTGGAACTTAATGGTACAAGAATCAATAGTGGTCGACGTTTCTACTCAAGCAAGCCATAACTCAAAAACCGTAGAAGAATTAGCTTTAGCAATGAAAATAACAAATTTGAACAAAGTTCATAATTCCGTACTAACTGAAATAACACTAATAAATGTAGGACTACTTAGTAAATACTGGACGATGACAAAAGACATCGCTACTCCTAAATACATAAACTTGCATTCTCAAGAATCTGCACATATATTATTAAAAGCAAAGAGGTCGGTGAAAGATACAAGTGAATATTCCAGTGTGCCCTTAAATGCAGATAAAAAATCTATACAGAATATGTCGAAAACTTTTCTAGCATTTGCTAGAAAATCAGAGAGGCCGCTACTCACAATGTTTGATGAATATGATTCTTTGAATTTTAAAGAAAACAAAGATGGCATTCTATTACTCCAATGGCAAGCTTTGGTCATTGAAGGTACCAAAAAACGCATAGTTTGTGGTCAAACTAACATTCCCATAGAAATCAATCGAAAAGATGAAGATGTTATTCAAATGGAAAGGATCCTTTCAGACACATTTATTGATATTAGTGATAAAACCATATCAGAAGATGAATCGGTACAGTCAACTCAAAAACAAGTTTCTTACAATTTAATACATCCTCCTGTTGTCAAGCATAATTTCAATGAGAAGAAAATTTGTATAGTGCCTGTTAAAATCCTTCTGCATAGCATTGTGGATAACAAGATTCTCAATGTGACTGTAAATACCACAGAACCTAGGTGAGTTACTATTTCAAGCTTTTATTTTTGAAAATACTCCCACTTTCATACAAGGGCGGCTTAAGGCTGAATTTTCGGAGAGGGCCATGGTAATCTGTATCTGTAACGTGTGGAGGGTGGGTTACCCTCACGGCACTTAGGCCTCATTCGGCCCATTGTGCATCCTCCTAAGATGATAGGCACCTCCTAGCTCGTGAGCCAGCCTATAGTTTTAATGTAGTTGACAACGTCGCCAGGAGGTGCTTCTCTTATATCGGCCGGTGTTAGCCGATACTCGCCGAACACAAATCTTCTAATAAATGAGAGCGTCGGGCATTCGTAAAGGATATGCTCGATGGTATCATCTTCTTGTTCGCACCCTCTGCAGAGGACAGCCCCATGATATGGAGATGCTTCTGTACTTGGCAATGACCAGTCAGAATGCCTGTGACCAGACGCAGATTCTGTTTAGTCATAGTCAAGTATTTGTTTGCCGCAGTGTTGTGAGGATAACTTAAGAGCTCCCTGGCAACTCTGCAGTTTCTTGTTTCATCCCATCTTTCCTTAAATTTAACAAGGGAATGTTCTTTAATTAGGTCTATCACTACCGATTTTGTCAGGCCAATAGAAGGGCCAGGTCCAAAAACTATTTGGTTGGCTGCTTTCTTGGCTAGTGAATCGGCAAGACGGTTACCTTTCGATGTGGCGTGACCTTTGATCCATCTTAAAGTGACCACATTGTTGATGGATACTTCGGCCAAAGCTTCGTGACATTCTAGTACTAACCCTGAATAAATTCGTGGTCTGTTCAGGGTGAGTAGTGCTTGTCTGCTATCTGTATAGATGAGCATGTTCCTTCCAGTAATAATATTTCTGGTTTTTTCTTTTGCTGCTATGAGAATCCCCGTTAGCTCTGTTTGCACTATACTGGCACTATTGCTCACAGCCCATTTTATGTTTAGGTTTAAGAATCTGGAGTATATTCCGCATCCTGAGCCTTGTTTTGTTTTAGAACCGTCGATGTAGATATGAATCGTACCTGCCACTTCTGGCTCTTCTATTTGTTCTATTATATCTTTGGGGAGCGTATCGAGCGCCTCCTGCCAAAAGTGACGTCTCGCCTCACCAGATCCTACATCAGGTTCTATTCCAACCGTGCGGAAGCGTGTCATTGTCAGAGCAACCTCCTTGATGTAAATATCAAGGGGAGTGAGACTAAGAATGACTTCCATCGCTCTGGTTGGTGTTGTTTTCATGGCTCCTGTTATGTTGAGACATGCTGTTCTTTGAATTTGTTCTAGTTAACGGATAGCTGTTAATTTTTGGGTTTTCGGTACCCAGACAACTGCACCGTATGTTAGCATAGGTCTTATGATAGCCGTGTAAGTCCATGCGACGACTCTGGGGGAGAAACCCCAAGTGCGTCCCATAGTACGGCGGCATTGTTCACAAGTAATGTATGCTCTTTTAACTGTTTTCTAAATGCGAGTTCCATGTTAATTTGCTGTCAAAGGTGAGACCTAGGTACTTCACCTCTGTCGCAAAGTTTATTTTTGTGTTTAGGAGTTCTGGAGGTTTTAATTCCATTTTCATCCTTTTCCTTGTGAAAAGGACCATTTCTGTCTTCTTAGGATTGATAGTGAATGGTCCTTGCACCACTGTTCTGTAATTTTTAGAGCTACATGCATTCTTTCGCAGAGTTTGTTCTCAAAATTCCCTGTTTGCAGAATGACCAGGTCATCTGCATATGCGATTGTCATTATTGAGGCGGCTGATGAGGGAGTCGAGGACCAAATTCCACAGTAGAGGTGGTAGCACCCCTCCCTGTGGACATCCCCTCGCAACCAAGCCTCATATATTCACATCTTCTACACTTTTGTTTACTGCTCGCTTTGAGGGCTGAGGCTGAATTTTCGGGGAGGGCCATGGTAATAAAATTGTTTTGTTTTTTAAGTTCGACACGAAATTTTTTTATTAGGTCACTCAACTAGCGACGACTTTTTTTGCTCATCAGCCCCAAAGATAAACATAAGGTGCATGTACAAACTACTAGATAACCTGGTTTTAGCTTCCCAAGTCCTACTTTAGAAATAATATTTTGCAAATTGCTTTTTTGTAAATTTTCAAAATGCTGTATTATTGATCACACTAATTTAAAACAATTTTTACCTTGAGAGGGGAGGTATGGTCCCCTGATACCCACCACGAAACGCTGTACATAATAATATGGTCACCCTAAATAGAAGACTCATAAATTGAGTAAACAATTTAATATCGGGGGGTCTATGCCCCCTGTCCCTTCCCCTGTAGCCGCCCTTGCTTTAATATAATAATCCATGGAGCAAAATATGGTATACATTTATTTTTGTCTGTTATTATTTATAACTGAAGTAGTTGTATTACATAATATGCTATGTACCTGTTTTTTGCTATTGTATAATATAAAATAATTTTTCTTTCCAAAATGTGTGTAAATTTGTTTCAGTGTAAAACTGCCTGCGATAAGCAAATCAAATCTATTTTGTACATATGCTTCCAGTAACTTTTGTTGGTTAAGCAATAGTAGAATTAATAAGAACCTAAATCCTCTAACAACTGAAACAATTCAACTTTCGGCTGCTCTGTCTGGACCAGGAACCTTCGACTTAGGCGCCCACATCAAAGTTTTATGCAGAACTGCTAATGAATCTGAATCTTTTGTACTTCAATCTTGTCAGATTCACCCTACTCTAATTGTTACAAATGTAGGTAGTTAATTTTTTTTGTATTTCAGAGTCTAAATTTCTTGTTTATTGTACTATACTTACTGTGAGCATTTGTTACATAATGTAAAATAAGAGACGTTATATGATTTAATAAATTATTGTTTGTATATACTTCAAATCTTCATTTTTCATTTTCGTGCAGTTCCAAATAAGATTTTTTGGCAAGCCAACTTTTAATACATACTGTTGTTATTATTGTTGCCTATTACATTGCATAATAACAGGTACGGCCATCTATACGGAAACGTTTAAAGTAAATTCTTTGGTAGACAACTTATAATACACACTGGTGTATTATGTATTGCCAAACATACCTACTAATCGTATGTCCATCTATAATTTATGAAAGAAAGCTAATACAACCATCTGTACACATCTCAAATGATCATCAAAATCTCCAATTTTGAACAAGAAGGTATATCAATAAAAAATGTCTCAAAAACTTCCATTTTCATCGGTAACGTGCCATGATAAAAAAAAATTTGCGTCCTATTTTGATGCAAATTATAAAGAGAGAACGACAAATTTTGGGGTGAACTCAGTATCTTTTCATCTATAAGATTTTAATATTTTTTTCGTTTTTCTCGGTAAATAATGATCAAATTACTTTTATAATCACACACATGTACAGCAGGACATATATAAATAGTTCAGCCGTTCAAGTTCAAAAACTTGAATATCTCGGAAACGGCGAGAGAAAGCAAAATGACCAGTGGGTCCACGGACAGACGGAGCTCTATCGACCCACCCAATAAATATTAATTTTTTTTCAAATGTCTACTTTTGGTCGATTTCAGATATTTTATTTTTCGTTTGCGGTTTTGATGCTTTTCAGACGCAAGATTTGAATGAAACTACAAAGTTTTCTGCGTATTCCATTTATTAAAGCAAATGACCAGTTTACTGAAAATGTATAAACTTACACAAAGTATAAATGCTATATATATAAATATGTAATACTTATGATTTATTGGAATTACACTTGCAGTGTAGACACTTGGTTATAAATGGCACTTAGTTTGGTATCGCATACAGAGCCAGAATGTATAATAAATTAAGAATGCAAAATAATACAAATGATGATTAAATAAATGACTGTTAATGGAATGAATTTGTCACACCCAGTATTTGTACAATAAAAAAAAAAAGAAATAAATTTACAACTATTGCACCAAACCCCCAAAAAAAGGAAAGTTAATTTTGTATTTAATACCTACTTATTGAAGACTAGTCACAAAACTATTCATCTATAAATTTCCCATTAAATTCAATTGATTTCATCAAATTTAAAAGCACATTTTCATTTTATATAACACAACCAGATTATGTCATAAAAATATGGAATGTACGTAATCGCATTGCTTTTTTTTCAGTCCAGATATGCTGATTAAAAAATTTTAATTTAACAAATATCATAAATGCTGCTGCATATTGTAAATAAAAATACTCTTGAAATAAATATACATGAAACTAGTAAATTAAAACCTTCAAAAAACCTGAACTCTCAATGTGAGTAAAAATAAAAGATATAATTAGTAAAATAGAAATTAAATAAAGATAATAAAAAGTAGCGCTTTCAATTTTTCCCTGAAACAAAGGAATGTCACACATCTCATCATATTTAAAACTACAGGTACAGAGCAGAGAGACGACGCGAATTAACCCAAACCCTACCAGTTTATCCATTGTTATTTTTAAAACGTATTTCGATCGAGTTTACGTTCCTTTATAAAAGAACTATGATATTTATTACTAATTTTACCTATTCCTCGAATATACGATTAAGTAACAGCTTTTTTTTGTAGAAATAATAAATGTAAATGACCCTTGGTATTATCCATGAAAAAGATTTCGTAAATCGTTAAGTAAATAAACAATTGTAACTGTAAAATTAGGAGCAAAAAGTATTGGAATCGAATATAATATCTCGCGATAGTGATCTGAATGCCTGGAAATTTAAAGCAAAGCATTTTCAATTTAAGAATTTAAAGGCTTGAAGAAATAAATAATATGAGCAAAATAATAAATAAACAATCTCTCTGCTCCATATTCTCGTTCAATACACTAGAAATATCATAAATAGAAAAAAATCGGAATGTCAACTGGTAACTTTTTTAAAATAAAAAATCTAAAGCATTTCAGGAAAAAAACCGAAAGACGTAATAAGTAAAAAAGAATCGTTAAAACGTTTCATTGATTGTTTTGTGGCCTTGCATTGGAATTATCCATGTTGGGGATGTAATCAAGCGCCATAAGGCAAGCGAATACAGTCATCACCATTTTCGGTTTCACCTCCGTGATGTCCTCTGGGAGTGCGTATACCCTCGCTCCTGCTTTGCGGGACATTGAAATGGCGTATTTAGCATTTGCTAGTCTGTCCTGAAATTTTAAGAAGAACGAGTTAATTTAATACTCAAGACTTGAACATATAATAAGCACTAGTAATTTAGTGTAGTTAGTGTTTGAAAATTGTTAAGCCGATTTTGGACTCACGAAGTAAAAACACGTGAACGTGTATTTAAGTATTCCAAACTTTTCCCCTGATTTGAGTCTGTTTTTGTACCGGTTTCAAAGGGTTCGAGGCAAAGAAATGAGAAATCTATCCACATTCACTCATTACGGCAGTGTCGCTCGGCACCCAATATTTTATTTTGGTATTGACGCATTTGGAATTTAGGTGCATTAAAAAGTGATGTAATTCCCCAAGAAATTCTCTTTTCTCTTTCTAGGATGAAACAAAAAATCCATAATCTTAAAAATACGTTTTAATTAGCAAAATCAGAGTGCGGATTCTGACAGCCCCATGATAAGAAGCTTCCGTACTTGGCAATGACCAGTCAGAATGTCTGCGATCAGGCGCAGATGCTGTCTCGTGATAGTCAAGTATTTGTTTGGTGTAGTGTTGTCAGGATATCTTAAAAGCTCCCTAGCAAGTCTGGAGCTTCTTGTTTTATCTCATCTTTCCTTGAATTTCACAAGGAAATGTTTTTTAATTAGCTTTGTCACTAACGATGTTGTCAATCCAATAGAGCACAAAGTCCAAAAAGTATTTGGTTGGCTGCCTTCTTGGCTAGAGAATCAGCAAGACGGTTACTTTTCATCCATCTTAAGTTGACCACATTGTTGATGAATACTTCGGCCAAAGCTTTGCAACATTCTAGTATTGACCCTGAGTAAATTCGTGGTCTGTCTAGTGTGAGTAGTGCTTGTCTACTATCTGTATAGATGAGCATGTTCCTTCCAGTGATATTATTTCTGATGATTTCTTTTGCTGCTATAAGAATCCCGTGAGCTCGGTTTGAACTACAATGGCACTACTGCTCACAGTACATTTTATGTTTAGCTTTAAGGATTTGGTATATATTCCACATCCTGCGCCTTGTTTTGTTATATATGTTAATTTTTAATATTTGGATGTATAGTATGTATACATTGCAAAGTATAGTATTCTAGGATTTGGGTTGTTCTTTAGTCACCTTTTACGACATTAAACAATAAATTGTGTTTTTATAATAATCAATAAAAATATACTGTTTAAAAAAAGTATATACTGTACCTCTTCAGCCGCTCCGGACTTGACCAAATCATAATTGATCGCACCTGGCTTGATGGCGTCTATAAGATCAATGACAACTTTCGCATCTGAAATCGAGCTATCCTGGAAATTGCGTATGGACGACTTTTTTCCAGCAGATGTGAGTTTATTGTTGACCCAGTTGACGATCTCCTTTTCGACCATTGGATTACCAGAATGCGCCAGGCGGGTCAGAATTGACAAGGTGTATGCTCTCATTAGTTGCCACACAAGGGCAAGAGTTAAAGTAACGTTGCCTTCGTTGATGTCTTGTCCACCGATTCCGACAAGGGAGAATTTGATTTCCTTGCCCAGTTCCACGGCGTAGTTGCAATTTTCCAATTTCTCCATGAATTTTTTCCGTTCGTTCGTAAATTTACGATGCACCCTGTTCCAATTTACCGTTCCAGCTTTTATAATATCGTAGAGTTGGAAGACCACTAAACCATCGGCAAGATCTGAGTACAACCAATTTACATGCGGCGAAACTCCCATTGAATTTATCCAATTCCTGTATGCTGAAAATAAAGTAAATTAAAACTGAAACATCATATAGTGCAACAAATGTAGCTGAAGCCTCTAAGATCAAATGCGCGGGGAATAGCAGAGCGGAGCTCAATTCGTTTCAGTTTTTTGAAGTGATCACTCGGCTCTCGATACATTATAAACGAAGTCGGGTATTTTCAGACGTTAAAAAATATAAGTGCCGAAAAAACCCGCAATTTACGCAGGAGGAAACTTTTTTCGAATTTCATAAATTACAAAAAGGATTAGCTGGGATAGCAGGCAGAGCAATTACAATAATTTAAAACTACTTGTTTCAGTTACCAGTATTAAAGATACTTAACTTTCTACAATAACCACTTCATATAATTGTTGGTTTAGAGTTTGTATTATAATTTAATACTATAACTTATTTAATAATACTATAATCCTTTTTTTGAGCCTTACTTAACAGCCAGTTTCACAATCGATGGTAAACTCTTACCAGGACATTAACCAGAAGGATCATCCGTTTCACAATAATTTTTTATCAATTGGTCAAATAACCTATGGTTAGGTATTAATTTTTCTTGGGTTGGTACGAAACCAAGGACGATTTTCATGGTCTATATCAGAAGTTTTAATTTGAAACAAAAAAAAAGAAAATTTTTTAGGTTGTATCAGTGACTAAAAAGTTTTTATTTAAAAGCACAACATATATTTCAGAAAATCATATCTTTACATTTTTGGTGCAGTTACAAATAATTTTTTATTAAAAAAACATGGACGGAGATAATAGTTTATTTTTTTATCTAATATTCATTCCTATGCGATGAGAGACAAAAGAATCGATTTAGTCTTAAAAAATTAAATAGCTATGATTTTCCGAAACATAAGGTAAACTGGACCAACATTGCCATGGTTGAAACATTTTTTTTTATTTTCTTGAACTAATAGTCAATTTTTTTCTTAACAGATGCCTAGAGCAAAAAGCCAGGACGGCAAAATACTAGAAAATATAAAAATTACAATGAGGAACAAATGAAAAGAGCAGTAGAGACGTGTTTAAATGGAGCTAATTTTTAATTTTGATAAGCAAAATTTCTTTATTTTCCTTCTTTAATACCAATGATTTGGTGATTTGTGGTTTATAAAGAAATAAAAAATATATACAAGTCAATCTTACTCAGGTGAAGGTGAAAATATGTCACACGCTACAAGTTTTATATCAACGTCAATGTTGTACCTCATTATAGGTAACATTGACACTTTGAAAAAAATATTTTTCCACGCTAATAAATTTTAATACACAATTTTTAACATGACACGACTCTTCATATATTTTTACAATTATTTGATACATTTTTTTTAATTGTGGACAAATTTTGTCGTGTGTTTATATAATGTTAATGAATGCTCCCTTTACCTTGTGTGTATGTGAAGAAAATAGCCTTGGACATGGTCCATTAGCTCCATTTACCTTATTTTGTGCATTTAAATAAAAAGTTTTTAGTGATGCAACCAAATAATTTATTTGTGGACTTTTGTGGACTTATCACGGGATTTATCAAAAATTGTAAAATAGTAAGGAAGGCATAGATAAAAACTGTAAGTACAAATGCCGCAATTTAATGAAAGACGTGCAAACTTTCCCAAAAATTAGGAATTTTCGATGATGGTTCAAGTCGAAAGGCCCAACAAAATAATAAATAAAAAAAAATTGAAATTGGGCATAGATAAAAACTGCAAGTACAAATGCCGCAAACCTAGAAAAAATGTGCAAACGTTTCCAAAGATGAAGAATTTTCGATGATGGTTCAAATCGAAAGGTCTACCAATTTTTTTAATTTTTGGAAAGTATGTACTCAAAAAAAATCGTAGGTCTCTAATTTTTTATTGAAAAAATTCTAATTTCATCATTATTTAGGTACCTAATTTCATATAAAAATAGTATCCGACTCTAACCGAGCCTTCAGATCCGAACCGTAATTATTCATAATTTTTGTAAAAAAACAAACTTTAGTGCTGTTCAAAAATTAAAAATTCTAAAAAGTAAGGTTAGGAACGTTCAGTTAATTTCCTAACTTTTACGTTTTCTAATTATTAAATATTTTCATAGTTAACTTGTACTTGGAACCGTAATCTACTATTGTAAAACACTTATTTCCACGTAAACAATGGTTATCTCTTAACCACTTCGTAACTGGAGATTGTGAAACTGGCTGTTACCTGTTAATATTTAACCAGAATTACCCACTGAAAATTTAAACAAAATATATTACGCAAGCAGAACTACAGAATACTAATAAATTAGACAACGCGGCGTGAATCGTGTCTCAAACTGGCGCATATCGAGACTTTTGCTATCCCTGTCGATCTGTACGTTTATTTTAATTCTAATATAATTAAAAGTTAATGTAAAAATTCTTTTAAGAATAAAAACAATTTGAACCAGAGATAACAGGAGATGTAACTACAAACAAATATCGTGCTGTAGTGAATAATACAGGAGGGTATAATATCCGCTGTCGTCATGCCTATTTCATTATTGTCGTTTTGTTTACAAAATTATTTATATATCTTAAAAAAGCTAAAATATTTCAACCTATTTTATTGTAACCGAACCCAAAATATTTTGAATCATTAGTTATATCAAATTTAACTAAATTAGATGTAATTTCACTAAAGTTGGATATCAAGTATTTTGTACTAGACATGGACATGGCTTGCATTGTGTACGTTGTATATTATGGGCGTACAACGGCTTACACATATATTCATAGATAAAATTGTTTTATACGGCCGTCAAAACCTTCAGTTTATTCCTTCTCATACCTCACACCACATGTCTCTCCACTCCTGATTTACAACCGGACAGTATCGATATCGGCGTTACGAATATTATATTTGATCAATTAATAGTTATATCTCCTATTTGAACTCTAACTCTCCGTACTCTCCGTAAATAAAAATATAAATAGACTTAAAAAATGTCTTACTTCTCTCTTCTCTTGTTTCTTCGATAGTTTCAAACCCGTCGGCACCATTCTGCTCAAGCCCAGGATGGTTGTTGAACAAGTTCGCGACGAAAGCCAAATTTAATTTATAGACACCGTTGACGACGTCTTGGGGAGTGACGAAGGACCTGCATTTCAGCTTAGCAGCTTGTTGTAACATAATTTCGGCTCTGTTGTGCATATCTTGTTCGAATAGAGCTTCGGTGGTAACATCGGCTTCCTGAGGAGCGATTTGCTTCAAGAGATGCGTGTACACTTCCGAATCGATAATATCGCTTTGGAAATTGTTGACACGACGATGAGTGCCTGCTTTTTCTAAGTGGTAGTTTACCCAACGGATCAAAATTGCTTCCGGCGAGAGTTTCATCAGCTCGTCGATTTTTTCGTCCTCTCCGAGGAGGGTGGTGAGACCAGGGCAATGTTCCAAAGTGATTTGGTTGAAAAGACCTATTCTGATGATCTGCCATAAAAGCCCTAGTACTAAATGAGGCGTGCCTTTCGACAAATTGTGTGCGTCTATATTTATAACGTTGCAACCAATGGCGGAAGCTGAGGATAAGGCGAGAGTTAAGTTTTCTAATTTTCTGTACAGAGTTAACTTCTCTTTATTTATTGCTCGTTCATCTATCGTGTCCGGACAGGAGTGATTTATTACTTTGCTGTAAATAAAATTAAATAAAAGTCAAGCTTAATGATGCGAATAAAATACAAAAAATGTCAAGAAACTGAGGGGTCTTTCACGCTTAGCAATATTATTGTAAGTTTTATGCAAAATACGTGGTATTACAATGATAGTACTAGGAATTATGTTGGCATTACTATAAACGCATGCAGTACAACCTTAAATGCAGTGGCGGCTCGTGGGAACTAGCGGCAGTGGGGCACACACTGGAAAGGAATCCCGGGATTCGTTTTTCCCTTAGGAAAACAAGTTCTCCGCTTAATGAAAATTAAATATATTTCAAAACAATCAGTTGGGGCAATAACGATTTCTGAATGTGACTACAGAGAGCTAAATGTGACCACTCAAAATGCATTTAACTATGTATGTGGCTATTTAATCAAAAAATCATTACATATATCCACTCTTGCGAAATTTGCGTACATTTCTCAGAAGAATGCAATTTACTTAACAATTCTAACTTGTTAACGCATTTTAAAGCATACGACTCTGAAGAAAAGGTGTTTGGCAATTTAAAATCTCCCAGCGAAAAATTTCTCTTTTATATTTTCAAATTAGAAAAAATATTAATATCTCTATTTGATAGTTTGTCAACTAAGTCTGGAATTTCCAACGCATACCTTTTTGAGATGAGCAAAATAGAATTTGGTCATCCCTGCCAAAATTTGCGAAAATGTACACCATTAAATTATTTATAAGACTCAAAATTTTTTATACTCTTAAATATGCAAACGTAGATTTGAAATCCTCGAAAAAGTCACGACAAAACCAAAAGAAAAATTAAAATTTTGTCCCATTTATAAATATAAATGATTTTTTTTCATCATATTTTTGACTGCTTTATAAAAAAAAGGTATTTTTCTTTGTAGTTTTATTTCTTAACTATTCCAAAGGTCCAACTAACATTTTTTCATAATCACAATAAATAAATTATTATCATGGTCCAACAAACGCGCACCTTAAGCCGAAACCTACATCGCCTTTGTGAGGGAGCCGGTAATATCACAAACCCCCTATTAGATAGACATTTTGAGTAAAGTTAAAGTAAAATTGTCAAAGTATGCGATTAAGCATTATAGCTCATATTGCATTAAATGATTATAAAAATTCTTTGATTTAAAATTCTAAGAAATAAATTTTTTGTTTTGTTTTACATATAATAATTGTTCTTTCGGTTTTTACTAACTTTTTCAAAGTAAGTATAACTTTCTGTGACTAGATGCTCTTTACTAAATTTATTTTTAGGAGCTATACAAATTAAGGCAACTTACAAATCAAAGAGAAAGAGCAAAAACAAACCAGTTATGGCTAAACAGGAGTGATCGAATGCGCTACGAAGAAAATAACTCTTAGTGACCTGTGATTAATAGATATTTTATCAATAAATATTTTTAATTCTATTTTTTCATTCTTTATAACTTGCAAGGTTGTTCTACTAATTTTAATAACCAAAATATCCGACGTCCTCCGTTCATAAGACATCTTAAAGACGTTTTATTTATGGCTTCACAAGACCATTATAAGCTATTAATAAGACGTCTTATTTAAGGCTTCACAAGACCATTATGAGCTATTAATAAGTCGTCTTAAAGAGGTCTTATTTATGGCCTATTTAAAGCTTCACAAGACCATTGTAATCCATTAATAAAACGTCTTAAATACGTGTTATTTAAGGCTTTACAAGATCATTATAAGCTATTAATAAGTCGTCTTAAAGACGTCTTATTTATGGCTTATTTTAAGCTCTGCAGACCAATATAAGCCATTAATAAGACGTCTTATATGTCTTATGCTAGACGTCTCATATGTCTTATGCTAGACGTCTTTAAAACGACTTTGTGCTATCTGGACAGATATCTCGACCAAAATATTTAAAATACTAGAAAAAGATGAAAAAGATTAAACATAACATGTTTCGAAGTACTACTTCTTCTTCAGATATAACTAATTTATATTATTTCGGTGTTTGGTATATATAATGTAGGTCAAAATAATTACATTAATGGAGTAATTAAAGTAAAGAGAATTAGCTGAAAATCATTCTTTTAAGGAAAATTTTGAAATTTCACATACATAAAAAAAGCATTAAATTACACCATTTAGAGATACTTGAAATAGATTTAAGAATTCAGATAATCTATTAAAAATATATATATATTCACCTTTACCTCTGATCTTAGTATGATATAAGATAATCTCGGTAGTAATAAAACATATTAAATTCATAATTACTTTAATTACGTTGACCCACATTGTTAACTTTGTTTTTTTGGAGTAATTATTATTAAATGACCGAAAAATCTCTTGAACTATTTTAAAATTAAATAAGGAAAGATTTGGTTTAACTTTTTTATTTGATAGATATTTTCTTGAATAACCGAAAAAAGAAATTTAAACTTTGCCGCCTAGCCTGCTGTGCGTTTTTCAGAGGGTTTATTATAGCTACATAGGCAAATGATCTTTCACTAACATCCTCTAAGATACCTACCACCATTCCTTCCACCCAATTCCCTCAGACCCGATACGTCCAGTGCAGCTGAAATGGCTAGGCAAGCCTATAGCGGCCCACTCCCGACTAAGAGAATGAAATACACATCTTAAAAATATTTATTTGAATATTTGATAACAATGGCAGTAGAGTGCGTTAACGTTAAAGAAAAGTTATTTTTAAAATGGAAGTGAATTTAATATTAAGTGAAAAAGGAAAACCACTTTTGTAATTTGTAATAAGTAAATATTATTTAGATCACTTGTATAATTTTTCTTTTACTGATTGACTCTCTTTTACATTTTTAATTTTATTAACATGCATATTTGCATATGTATATAAAAATTGTCGCAATAAATATTTTTTTATGATTTTACATATTCCATAACAATTGGAAACAATATCTAGTATTGTAATTAAAATATCCCGGCTCTAACTCGTACCATATCTTTTTCGATCTCCTGTAATTAAGATTATGCCGGATTCAACTCGACTTTAGGTTAAAGAAAATTATTAAAAACAAATTAAATTATTTTCAGTGTATTTTATAAGAAAAAAAAAATGGGTTTATAAATGAGAAATAAAATTAAAAATATTCATTCATTGTAGATTTTTTATGTAAAATTTTTAAGGCAAGGAAATTATTTAATAATGATAATAAAAATAAAAAAACTGAAATGAATAAACAATTTGGATGAAACACGCTATTGAGACAACGAAATGTATACATTTATTTGTGAATATATCTATTACTAAAATTTTTAGACTGCAAGTACCACAAAAATATATAATAATAATAAATATTAATAAAAAGGTCTTTATTTTCAGATCATAAAACAGAATTAAAGTATATACCTATACAATATTCCAAAATTATATATTTATTAATGTTGTGAAAAAAGACGCGGTGTCAGCTGAGTGAGTTATACTAAACATAAGCATAGATCACCCTCTGTTTTTCAACATATACTTTTATTAATCTCTTAGGTCATCTTACGATGACATGAAACAGGTTGCAAAAGTGTTTTTATATTAATAACTAACTGAATTAAATGGCATTAAGTAAGTAAGCACCGTGTACTCACTCGGAATTTTTACCATACAGTTTGAAGAAGCAACAATTCTTAGAATCCAGTTACAACAAACAAATTATCTACTAAAAAACTAACTGTTTTCCTCGTTCACTCAAAATTATTTCGGGATTAATTATATAAATTAATATTAATAGAACACAAGTGAAAGCTACATTATTGACAAAAGGGTACACAATTATGATATTATTTTCTACCTATTTTAATTGTTCTGTCATAATTATCTGTGATCGAACTAAAATTTCAGATGTACTACTCATTCTAATTGGAATGCAAGCTGGGAACCAATTTACTTGTTTCGGGAACAATTTACTTGTTTTGGGAACCAATTTACATATTGATAAGAGATATTAGGTACTAACCTTTAATCTATTACCCACTGGAAACTAATTTATCAACACCCGTTTCCTGCTAGGTAAAAGGGAGTAATTCAGTAGAATCTTGAATTATTGAACGGATACTGAAGTTATCGCTAATTACTTTAATTTTGTTTTAATGTAGGTATATAAATAAAGAAAATGCAGCTGAGTATATCGTCTACACAGGGTCCTGCTTAAAATGAACTACATGAAAAGTTCGGAAACGGTTTGGTAAAATAAAGTTGCCTATCTAGAGAGGAACAATAATATAATATGAAAAGTTACCACATATCTAAGACCGACTTCGAGTTATTTAGAAAAAATTAATTCTTGGATCATCGGTTTTATTTATCGACATTCCGTCATTTCGGGAGACTTGAGACGGCCCGATAACTTGTGACAAAACGTTCGAAATTACGTTATATACATCCGATAACGTTGCATGTCAAGCGAGTCTAGGCTCACCGAAAGTATTCCATACCAAGACACCTAGAAACTGTTTCAAAAACCGTTTGAACCGTCCGATTAAGACGCTAAGTGATTTTGTGGGTATTTTTTTTTATTTTATGTAAATTCTGGTATAGAAAACTATGGTTGATCATTGAAATTTTTCTTACTAAGCAAATTACTGTACTGTGTATCAATTGCCATATAGAAAGTTATTTTTATTCTTTTATATATACACACATCGCCAAAATTGTTGGACCCCCTCGTAAATGTTAAAAAGAAATATTTAGCATGGTTGCTTTTTTGTACATTTAATCTTCATTTATTTCACCGTTACTATGCATCTAAAAATGTTTACAAAAACAATCTCCCACACTTTTAGATACCAATGTTCATATCGATTTAGCGTGTTTAAGTGATTGTTGAGTTTTTCTTTGCATTTATGTCTGGCAATAGAATTTCAGTGTTCAATAGAGCAAGAATAGTGGCTTTGCATGATAAGGGTCTGCCGAATTATCGAATTGCGGATAAGCTAGAGATTCCCCGCGCTTCAGTTATCCGAATAGTGCATTTGTATCAGAAAACTAACAGCGTTGACTGGAGACGTGGGTCTGGGCATCCTAGAGTAACTAATGCAAGAGAAGATCAGTATGTAGCGGATTATATACGTCGGAATTGAACCATAACAGTCTCAACTGTCCGAACTCATTTTAGAAGAACGTATATTCGATTCATTTCCAGTACCACAATACAGTGGAGACTTTCTGGAGCTAATTTGCCACCTAGGAGACCATTATGAGTACCCAGATTACTTCATAGACATAGCCGCTGGTCTACAGTGGGCACAGGAACACAGAGACTGACTTTTAGCTTAGTGGCGAAATGTCCTTTTTGCGGACGGAACCAGATTTGGTTTAACTAGTGATAGTCGGCCACTTCGAGTTTGAAAAGGGCCAGGCCGACCAGAAAGACTATCTTTTGCCAGGGAAGTCGTTCCATACCAAGGAGAAACAGTAATGTTTTGGGGAAGCATAATGCATGATCGTCGTACGCAGCTTATTGCCATTTCAGACACTATGACAGAGGATAGATATGTTCAAAACATTATTGAACCTATTATTTATGTTTAACAGTGCCTGGCCCCATCGCACGAGAAGAGTACAAAATGCACTAGAGATTCATAATATTTAAAGATTACCGTAGCCATCAATTTTGTCAGACATACATCCCATTGAGAACATGTGGGATTTCGTCGGACGAGCAATCTCAAACAGAATTAATCCTCCCATCACCCTCCAGGAACTCACAGCCCTGTTAAAAGAAGAATGGAACAACATTCCAATGGATACATTACTTTAAATTTTTTTATGAAAATTATTCCAAATTTCCTCCTAAGCTTTACTCTTTAATACCCTATTGCTATATTCTTTTGAACTGCTGTTCGAAACCGCAGGACGTTGTTCTATTTCGACTATAAATCGATATGCCATATTACTCATTACTGAAGCCCAAAATTAAAAATAAAATATCTCTACCAATGTTAGTAGAAGTCGACGATAAAGTGGCCGGGTGAACGGTTCCAAGTTCCAACAACTGAGTGTCGCCACTTCGTCGCGGGGACCCGCGACCCGTTCTCTTGGCCACAGCCGTTCGCCACAGACGCTCGTCTGGACAGCTTTTACATTTTAACATGGAATTGAATGGCAGACGTTTACCCGCTACGAAGTGTCGCCACCGAATGGCTCGTCTGGACGGGCTCTTAAGGACTTAGCTCGAGAAAGACCTAGCAGTACTTGGCCTGGCATTACTTTGCATGATTATCAAGCATTACATAAAATTATCTAATATTACTTGGTATTACGAAGAATTACTCGGAATTATCGAAGTAATGCCACACTTCGGCAATATTATAAAAGATATCTCGAAAAGAACTTACCAAAGTAAAATACCATCTTTGACTTTCTCGTAAAGGTATTTGCCTTCAGCATCGATGGGCAGAAGTTTCTTCAAATCGGGATCGTGTGACAAGTTGGAGTTGATCCAATCTGAGAAAGCGAGTTGTTCTTCGACTCTAACGGAGTGAGTTGTGCCTTCGTTTGAAGCTTCGGAAGTACCTCCGAGGTGCTGTAGATTTTCCCGTTTCGATACAGCTGTTCGGAATGTGTTTGCGACGTCATTAGCCTTTAGATCACAGATAAGTTTTTCGAATTCATCGTACGTCAGTTTACCGTTCACTTTTGATTTATTTGATTTTTTGTGTTCTTCTTCTATGAGACGAATTTGGTAGCCGGCAATTTTGTAACCGCACATTTCAAGCGCTTCTCGAAGTTCTTTCATGTCAATGATGCCATCTCCGCTTTTGTCGATCTGCAAACAGAAAACATTCGAATGAAAAAATCTAATTATATGGAATCCTCAAAAAAAAAAAAAATGAATCTAAAGTAGGCTTTGAAAAAATTCACGCATGTCGGAACATACAATTATTATTCTTTTTAAAAGCTAGTTTGGATTTAATTCAGGGCCGTACGTAGTTATCACGGACTTGATTCGTATCTCTGTCTTTATCAGTTATAGGCTACTTTGGAAAAAAATGTTGTGGATCATCACTCTTTATAATATTGAATCGGTGAGTTCGAAAACCATACATGTCCAAAATCAGTCTTCCGAGAAAAACAATGAAAACTTTTTAACGTTGAAACTACTTGACATAGACTATTTTCATGCATAGAAAAGTTTTAGATCTCGTAGTTTGCAATGTTTTTTTAATGGTAATTTTTCAGAAAATAAAATGGACAACCAATGACATACAAATGGAGTATGTTTTTTGAACTCAACCCTGTATATAAAAAGAAACAGGTGAATTTTTTTGATTTATTTAATATTTATTTAAAAAGGAAGAAAAATACAAAATCAGAACTGTTATCTCAGTCATCTAATCATCATTTTCAGCATTTGTGATTTTCCAACTGACTATGTGTGATATTACAGAAGCTTTGCAATCAGTTGCAATCGCAAAAGAGAAACATGGTATTACAGAAACGTGTTTTCACTTTTTGCGTCTGCAAATCATCTGTAACTTTGCAAGAGGTTATACTATCCTGCAAACTTGGGATATGTCAATTTTTTCTTTACTTTTTTTTTAATAAACACTAATTTTTCTGTTGCTATTGATTGAACATAGTTCGTGGTGTCAGGTTAACGCAGTTTTTAAACTTAGTAATGGATTTGGGTTTATTGTTGTTAGGGTGTAATAAACCACAATAAATATGGCAGATTTGCAGATGCTTTTTGGAATACGAAAAATTAATACTTGCATCTGTAAATCCGTCATATTTGCAGATCTGCAAAGTTGCAGGATTGCTTTTTCTGTAATCTCACCATATAGCACTTGACTATTATTTGGAGATGTACGGTTTTTCTCCTCATTTCACGGGTGCAATCAGCTGTGCTGCGTTAACGACTAGGTATATAGTACGGTTTTTAAGCTCAATCGATGAAGAGGCGGCAAATATTAAACGAAATGGCTATCTTACTTTAAAATGTCAAATTTTGGACTTGTTTTCGAACTCACCCATTCAATTATATTATTAATTCGATTAGTCATATCAATCAATAAGTATATTGTAAATTCCCCTCGTATACTAAACTATTTTCCTATTGTTATATTTACCAGTAATTAAACTTTGATGATAAAATATGACAAATCCTGATTATTCAGACCATAAAATAAAGCAAATATCAAGAAATTGATAACCTTAAAGCCAAATGATCAGTTGAATATCACAAATTTACTAAAAACACCTTAGTGTTAATATTTTCAATAAATGAATATACTTTTGTAATTTCTACCATTAAATTTCTTTAAAATCGCCTGTATAAAAAGATTTGATATAGGGCCAGTCTTTTCACCTCCAAGTTGAAAGTAACTACTTGCTGATTAAAGTATAAGGCTATTGTGTGTTAATCTATTGAGTAAACTTACAGGTAACTTTACTCATGGGTGAAAAGATCGGCTCTTAATGTGATTATTTAATTTTAATGTTTTGTGGACCAAAATACAAATACGGTTAAACATTCAGTTGTCAGATCTACTTTAGTGATGAAATTACACTTATTTAGAATTATCAACATTTGTGGTTTTGCAAATAACATAACTGATAGCAAGATGGGTGCCGCGTTTGTTGACGTTGTAACGAAAACATGAGCGCTGCTGACGGTGGTTTGTAGCCATTTCAATGAATTTGATAAAAATATTTTGGCGTTATTTCATAAATATATTTGTTGCATACAAGATTGTACAGAAAGGTATTACAAAAACTCAAAAATAAAATGTATTTAAATAAAACATAAGATATGCAGGGCACAACTCGTCGAAAATGTTTTTTAAAGATAAAACTCATCAGTAAAGTAGAAACAACTTTAATGTAGTGTTTTTATTTTATTTTTAACCTTTTTTATCAGCTTATTTTTTACTTCAATTGACATGTATTTTTAGACGCTACATACCTAATAGGTGTGCTGTTTGTGTACAGGGATATGTTATTTTCCTTGTTTTGGAATTAAGACAATCTGAATTCAATGGAAAACAATAAAATAAATATAATTATATACATGGTAATTAAAACAAATTAAGTTTGCCCAAGAAGAGTCTACATTCATTTAAATACAGTATAACATATTAACAATGTTTACACTTGTTATTTTAATTTTTTTTATTTACAACATTTTTACAACAGTAATATACACGAAAATAAATCGAAATCATGATCATAAGACAATGATGACATAACGATTTATATAAAATTTGCTATCTAATCCACTTTATCAGCAATAAAATTATATATAAATCGAACCTGCTTAACTTAGTCAATGAAATATACAGAGTTTTCAATAACAACAACTTTCCACTTCAATACGAAGTAGTTGAACGAAAATTAACTAAAATCAAGTGATTAAGACTATCTTCTATCTTATCGTATATTATTATACTAAACCCGGCTGCTAAAAATAATATATCCAATCAATTGAGCCATACGAATTAACATATACAGGGTGTTTCATTAACAATGGGAATTCTGTTAAATGGAGATACGTCAAATACACTGACTCGAACATGTATCATCCGAATGTTGATGGTTTAGGAAATACAGGGCGTTGAAAGTTAAAACTTTATTTTCTTTCCACACAGAAAAAATTATCATCTACATTCAAGAAAAGCTTTACACTTAGAAGATTACATTTGTTTGAAATAAAGCAGATTTTGCTTCAAATAATATTTCTCGATACAATAAGAAATTAAATGTTGAGTGAAGTGTAGGCATAATCTTGTATTTTAAGATTTATAATAATTAATCTGAGAATAAATTATTTCATTCGAGTCTAGAATTGTTAATTAATCTAAGAAAGCTCTTACGTTTATTGTAAGTATGATATGCTCTTAAAACCGACTATCGCGTACTTGATTCAATGTTGTAAAAGGATTCGATTCAAAGCATTTAAATTTTAGAATAAGAATTAAAGAATTCGAATCAAAAATCTATGTACTTCACAAAAGATTAGCGAGTACAAATTCATAGGTAGATATATATAGAGACACAACGCATTTATAGAGAATCTGGCAAATTGGCATTAGCACGTGTTCATCCTATTGTCTATTTTCTAACAAGTTTGCATCGTATCGTTAGGGTTGCGTTCTACTTTTTGTTAGAAATTCTTTGTGATTCAATTAATAAGTGTATGAATAAATTAAATTGAAATGGAAGATTTGTTAGATGGATGGGGCCTCAGCGACCTGATACCAATATTTAAATGTAAGTATATTTAATTCACTTCTTGTCAGTATTATATATAAGTACATTTATAATCATAAGAACACGAAACAAACTAGAATAGAAGTAAACAAAATGTATGATGCTGGATGACGACTTTTTGGAAAGCCGAAACTTATTTGCGAAGTCTAAAAGGACGTAATTATCTACCTACCCACCCACATTTACTAAAAATATTCATTTTGTAGATACGACCTCTTAGCAGGACAAACTTTTATTTTCCATTTAGGGTTTGTAGTTATAAAATTATTTTTTTTTTTTTAATTATAGGTGGGGCATCTCAGAGGACAGAGGAATTTGGTGCATTAACAAAAACCAATTTTGAAAAATGTTTTTCGGTGGATAGGTACCAGTGAGAACCCTATTAAAAAGCAAGAATAGCCTGTTCTTATTTCAAGATTAATTTCTTCAATGAAACTATCCTATAATTCAACCAAAATCAATATATTTATGTCAAAGCCAATATTAACATTTCTTGGAACAGTTCATATTATTATTGTAACAAATTTAGTTGTATTGGATTTAAGAACAAGGTAATATTGAATATAAATAAAGTATATTTAAAAAAAGTGTAAGACTATTTCATTTAAGATGTACATAATACTGCAATTGAGTAATAGATACTCTTCATTTAATTAGAGGTATTTTAGTTAGGGCAAGTTGATTTTATTCTTGAAGCAAGGCTTATTAGCTATTGTTGAACAAGTATTACTACAGTTTCAAATCAAGACGAGTTTTACTTGCGGATATATAAACACAACAAAGCATTGAAATAAGACCATTCATCTTGAATATAGTACACCTTTTTTTCTGTGCATGACAACTTGATGTTTTCTGTGTAAAAAAAAGAATATTGCTACATTTTTCATGTTACAAAATTTATGTCATATCTCAAAATCTGGTCATAGCAACTTCATCCAACTTTTATTAAAATATAGTGCGAGAAAAAGAGATAAATTTTTCGTTTTTCTTGTTAAATATCTTTTGAATCATACTATAGGTATATGGTTTATAAACTATATTTTTATTTTTGAATAAATATAGTTTTTTATGAAAACGTAGGTTGCAAACATATAAGTAAATATACTGGGAAAGTAAATATAATGTTCGTTTGGAGTACCTACACTTCACAAACTTCTCATGCTTTGGGTTATTAACCCATTATGAAGCGTATTTTTATTTTACTGTATGCTAATAAGTCTGAAAGATTCCCGTAATTATATACAACATAATATAATGTTTACAATAGATCATACCCAACTTCCTACCGTTCTTCTGTGAGATACAAATCAATTCATTTATTTCATCGAAATAAAACAATACGCTCTGAACTGAAGATTTCAAACTCATTCTAGAAGTTTTCCTGCAAGAAGCATTAGTTCGTTTAACCCGGAAGCGGTAGCGTTATTAGAAAAAAAATCTCAAATTTGGGGTTTTTATCAATTTTTTGAAGTCATCGCCTAAAATATCACGTTTTGCGGATGCAGTGGTCGAAACACTGTCTTTTCGGAGCATTAAAAAATTAATGTCTTGATAAAT